TACATGTGTCTAATGTGTAAATTTCAATACATGTGTTATAGGAGTCCAAACAGTAACATAATGGCCACATGCCAGCTAGAAATGTCATACAATATTTCATACCTCGCAAACAGACCTCAGATGCCAAAAACATTTATCAGGGTTAACCAAGAACTAAAATCTTGTATAATTTGGTCAGCTGCGTGATTACAAATAGCCTCGACATTCCGGAAATTGATGTGGCACCGCAAGAAGTCTTTTCCCAAATCACTCACCAGCCTACAGTAACAGAGAAAAAAAAACTGGAATAAAACAGTATGTACATACTACATACTACCTTGATGTTCCACATATTCAGTGGGCAACATCAACATTTAAGGGAAGAAAATACATGTTGTTGTGATTCTAATAATAATGCTATTAACAATTTACAGAACATAGTCAAATAAATGGATTGATCATCATATCATGCACAAACATAACCATTTGCTATTTTTCCAGTATAAAAAAGTTAATTGGAGCTATTAAGTACAAATCAAACCCAACTTTATGCACACATTATTGAAACAGATAACCCACTTTTTTTTTATTCCAAGGGAACCTCAAAGACACAGCTTATCTTTGGGGGTTCTCGCTATGCTTAACTACATGGCAGTAATTGCATGTGCCAACCTTTGTGGCACACAGTGTGCCCAGACACCCAGTTATCTCTGGGGCTTATCACTGGCTCTCCATCCAGCTGGTGTGCCCATCTAAATCACCCTGGCCTTGTCCTTCCACTACCACCCCAGGGTCTGAGAGGCTGTAGAACAAGGCACCACCACCACTCTCTTTAACACAATGGAAATAGCATCTGTTAAGGCTCATAACTCTCATACGCCTTCATAACCCTCTGGTATGAAGCCTGTTTTACCAAATGTATTGAGCAGTTATAAAATGTTCTGTGAGTTCATGAAAAAGGGATCTGATGCACCGGGATGAGACATGCAGTCATTAGTTAATGGTCTGATAAATATCTATACTGCTGCTACTGCTTCGTAACAGTGGTCGCTAGATAATTTGTCATACACTGACATCTGATGTTGATTGATACGTTTGTTAAGAGTACAGAAGTCAGACAGACATATGGTTGAAATATGTTATAAAAACAGCTTAGAGGCAATCCCTGGTTACCCCATAGTCGAGATTTGAATCAGGTTTAAATGGTTAATATGTTTTATTTTATTTTATTTTATGTTCACTTCAAGGAGGCACGTTGCAGAACTGACAAAACATCAAAATGAGCAAGAGGTATAAAACTTAAATGTGATTTATTTTAACTTTCTGTAATGTGTTTCTTTGATTGCAAGTAAGGGCACTTGATAAGTTGTCTTCATTACATCTTCTATTACAAGGAGAAGGCCACTTAGAACTGGCATTACCTCTTTCAAATGCCTTTAGCCTTCAGCCTGAAGGTCTGAGGGTTGTTGTGATGTATAGAGATAAGTTCAGCTGGAAGGAGACTGATGTTCCCCGTAAAATATCCTTCAGTCCTTTAAACATTAGCTAAAGGAGGCCACCTTGAGTACATATTGTAGCCTGGCAACTGAATAGGCAAGGGTAAAGTAAAGTGAAGCTAGATGGGATCATGCTATCAAATTACTGAGCATGGTGTATTCAAGGGGGGTATAGGCCTACTTATTGTTTACACTTAGATGCACTGCCATCATGCTAATAATGAGAGTGTAAGGAGATGAAGTACACACATTATTTTTCCCCAAATCAGACACAATATTGACTTGATTAATTATTATTTGATTGTTTGGGTTGCTACAGCACACACAATGTGCCTCTATGTGAATGTCATCTTATAAAACCAATGAAGCATGCATCCTTTCATCTAAAGGGTCCATAGCTGTGTGGAAGACTAGTGATTTTGTTGTTATGTGTCAAAATTGACAACAAGTCATGGTCTACCTCATTGCTTTGAGACAAAAAGCCCTAATATACAGGTCCCATATCAACATGTGTATACATCTTTTTAAAGGATGTATAACTTGCAACCATCTCTCCATTATGATGTAGAGTAGTTTTTTTTGTTATTTAAAATAGAGATATCTGTAGGTAGGCAGGCCTAAATTAAAGTTACAATATCTGGGGAGTTGTAGCCTAGGCTAAGCAAACACCACTGCCTCATTCCTTAACTCTTTGTCTCGTTCAGTTGCAGACCCCTTCACCCTTTTCCATTGACTTTCCAAAGCAATGAGAGTATGGAAGGGACTGCAGAGATTTTGGAGAGTGATGTTTTCCATCTTCCCTTGCTGCCCGTTGAGGACAAAATTCGAAAGACAGGTAAGCCTACACCAAATTTAAAATAGGTCAACTTAGGTCTGTCAAAACTTAAATAAACTTTCCATTTAAAACTGCAATGCATTTGTATTTCCTCTGTAGCTCAATTGGTAGAGCATGGCGCTTGCAACGCCAGGGTAGTGGGTTTGATCCCTGGGACCACACATACCTAAAAATGTATGCACGCATGACTGTAAGACGCTTTGGATAAAAGCGTCTGCTAAATGGCATATTATATTATATCAATGATGATTATAAGCCGTGAACTTACATTGCGAATGCACGGACAACACTCTAGTCTAGTGTCTAGTCTACCTGAAGTGGGAGGGGTCAGCGTCCCGAATGCCCATTCGGGCACGCTGATGATGATGATGATGATGATGGTGGTGGTGGTGGTGGTGGTGATGATATAGAGCGCAATAGTGATGACGTCTTTTTGTAGGCACTAACTCTGCCATCCGTACGGGAGTTGCAGCGATGGGACAAGACTGTAACTACCAATTGGATATCACGAAATTATATATATGTAAATAAATAAATAAAATTAAAAAAGGTTCGTTGAACAAAGCCTATGGGAAAATGAATGGAGTTTTTGTAGGGGTTTTGGATAAACACCGAAAAAAAGGTCTGTGGTAAAAACAGGCTTAGGAGAGTTTATACATTTTTGTTCTCTGAGGTAATCTTCATCAGCTAACATCACTTTTTGTGAATAATTTTAAGCATTAATGTAATTTAAAAAAAACATAACGCACATACAGGCGTTAGAATTCATAAAGTTCACGTTAACTGACTGATATCTTATAGAACAAACGTGTAAAATCTCATTTTAACCTCGGACCTTATTTTCGGCGTTTATTCCAAAACATTATTCTTTCCTCATTTATTTTGCTCATAGTAATGGCTGAACGAAACAGAGGTAAATCATTTCCGGTTTTTAGGACTACAAACTGGCGAGCTCAGTAGAATTAGGGTTTAAGAATGTGATGGTGATGTCGTGATGATGATTAGGCCTATGAATTGCACTATAAAAAAAAAAATATATATATATACTTTTTTACCCCCTTCAGTTACGTTGTGGGCTATTCCTCTGAAGTCACTCATGTCAGGCTTCTCCGATGCACAACTGTGCTGCGCGACTGTCAGCGTTGCGGTCGCTTTCGACACTGGAGACTTTGGCGGCATCCTTGCGGTCACCACTTCTGCCGTGAGTGCATGGATCAGCTCATAGATGATGGTTTCCGCGACATCGAGGGGCTTGCCTCAAGTCCCTGTCCACAGTGTAAATCAGTTATAGCTTAATAAATGTGTAACCGTGACTGCATATTAGTGCCCTTTTTCTGAGTTTTTGTAACATTTTATTTTTCAATGCACTTTGTAGTCCACGCATGTCCCTATTGCTAAGGCAATTCAACAGAACTATGGTATCATTAAGACAAAGGACAAGCAATAATATTTCACCACTTATCTAGTCAGTCAGATCAGATTTTCCTTGTCGTCTTTTGGATATTCTATGCATTAATGAGTGTGTGTATCCAGGCTCTGTGGTAGCCGGCCGCGACCGGGAGACCCATGGAGCGGCGCACAATTGGCCCAGCGTCGTCCAGGGGAGGGGAGGGAATGGCCGGCAGGAATGTAGCTCAGTTGGTAGAGCATGGCGTTTGCAACGCCAGGGTTGTGTGTTCGATTCCCATGGGGGGTAGGAAAAAATAAAATTATGTATGCACTAACTGTAAGTCGCTCTGGATAAGAGCATCTGCTAAATGACTAAAATGTAAAATGTAGTAGATCTAGGTCACAGTCAATGACCTTAATATAATAATCTCAATTTAGCTGAGGCAAAGCTCCATCCAAGGCAAACGACTATTTTATGAATATTAACAACTCGGGTTTATAGGCAGGGTTGGGGAGTAACTGATTACATGTAATCTGATTACAAAAAAGTAGTTCCAGCAAAAATTGTGTAATCAGATTACAGATACGTTTGAAAAACTAGATGATTACTTCTTGAATTACTTTTGAATTCAAAAAGGATGCTTGCGAAAAAATACATTATGACACCTTTCTGTTTTCTCAATGACATTCAATTCAAAAATTGAAAAAAGGCGCAAATGTAGTTTGCTCCACCTGAGCTGGTCTGACCACAATTCAGAGACCACTATGATGACACACCAGATGTGCTTGATGGATCCTTTTTGTCTTCTTCTAATGCCTCTTAAGGGGAAAGTAATCAAAAAAGTCACTGAAAGTAATCAGATTACGTTACTGAGTATGGGTAATCCAAAATTGCGTTACTGATTACAATTTTGGACAGGTAACTAGTAACTGTAACAGATTATATTTAGAAAGGAACCTACCCAACTCTGCTTATAGGCTATATGATAGAGTCAGTATATCAAAACAAATATTGACTTGCACTTCAATAAGCACTTCCCATCCAATTCTGCCCAGAAATGTATCTAATTTCAACCCCATAATTTGACCTTTAACCTTCAATAAATTATACAGCAGTACACAGTGCTTTAAAAGTAATCCTTCTATAAAAAAAATATAAAAAAATGGGTGGTTGTCCCACTGGCTATCATAAATTGAATGCACCAATTTGTAAGTCGTTCTGGATAAGAGCGTCTGCTAAATGACTTAAATGCAAATGTATCCAGGTGAACCATAGAGAAAACAATCACAGACTAAATGGCCACTTTTCAAGCCCTTTATTGGTGAAATTTCAGCATAATTTCAAGATGATTTCAAGAGAAGGACTGAGGTGGACTTGACACAGGTGAAACAGACAGAGGGGAGATGGTTTTTCCTTTCTACGGTCTGGGCTGAACAAAAAGTGAACCCAAGCTATGGGGATGTTACGTTAGCTTTACTGGGTGGGGAGTAGAGCCTTGGTCTGGTCAACCACGGTCTGGAAGAGCTGCTCCATCTGGGCTTGCAAGTCATCAGCCAGAGGCTTGAACTGGGCCTGCATCTTGTCGACCAGGGGCATGAACTGGGCCTGCAGGTTATCAGCCATGGGACGCACCTGCTTCTCAATGTCACTGACGAAGGGCTTCATGTGCTCCTGGATCTTCTCAGCATGCTCCTGGATCTTGTCGGTCAGAGGCATGATCTGAGTCTTACCCTCCTCCAGGTAACCCCTATGGGTAGAGAGACACACTTAGAGAGATGTTTTCCAAAAGCTGTAGGCTCAGGGAGCAAGCTAGCTTTAAAGCTGACTCTATGGTACTGATGTGAAAACAGACATGTTTAAAATGTAATATCCCTGTCAAGTACAATGTTACAAATAAATAAAATGAATAGTAACAATTTGAATGAGTGATCTATTTAGAATTACTTGATATCTTAAACGTGAAGAGATTCAACTCCATACAGAGTTGATGGTACTTATTTTGTTGATCTGCATTAAAATCTCCCCTCAAGAGAAGTATTCTATTCTATTCTATTTTATTCTATTGGAAGAGTGTGGTGGTCAGTGACGTACTGAGCCTGGCTGATCAGCTGATGAGACTTCACTTTCTCGATGGCGTCCTGGAAGTACTTGGTGAGAGTCTCGATATCAGCAGGGATGTCACGCTTCACCAGGGAACTGGACTCACAGCCTGTCATAAACACACACAGAAAACACACTTATTACACACACTCACTACACAGTATTAATTCAGTCAGAAAACAAGGATGGATGTAGTTATCATTAAATAGGTTATAGATTAGCAGAGGAGTGAAGGTCTTGATTTTCAAATAAATATTTATCCTCTGAATTATTTTGTTTACCAGTTATGTGTTACTCAATTATTATTCATGAGTAGTATTAGGTATATAGAAAGATAGAAAGTCATTAAAAAAAACATTTGTTGCGTAACAATTTATGTAATGAATTCTTACCAATGGCCAGCACAACAACAAGGGCGGCGACGAGAGAGAATTTCATGATTGCTGATGGGCAAGGTGGATCTACAGGAGAGAAGACAAGAGGATTAGGACGACTACAGGGAGTTTCAGATGCAACATCATACACTACATGACGATTGACACTCAAAGACATTCTATTCACTTTCAGTTGCACTTATTTACATTTTAGTCATTTAGCAGACGCTCTTATCCAGAGCGACTTACAGTTAGTGAGTGCATACGTTTTCATACTGGCCCCCCGTGGGAAACTAACCCACAACCCTGGCGTTGCAAGCACCATGCTCTACCAACTGAGCTACAGGGGACTAGGGGACTTATCCTAGGTGAAACCAGCTAAATGTGATGAAATCCATGTTATGTGGTTTACACCAACTCTGACCTCATTAAGATCTCAGTAGAAATTGGTATCATATTTAACCATATAGTCATAATGAAAACTTTACAGTACTTAGATGTATCCCTCTTGAGGCTACTACACTAATAAATAGTTCTAAAAAAGACACACTCGACACTCTGTATACATACAAGAGCTATGAGCCTAAACTTTAAGTGTTAAACCAATATACTGATACATTGGGAATCAGACAGAGAAAACCATGGAAGACTTACCTTTACTTCTGGGGTTCTTGGACCTAATGGTACGTTGTGTCTGGGGCCAAGGGGTTTTATAGCTCCTGCTGGACAAAAGGGGTCTGGCCCAAATCTTATTGGCTACTCCATGTAAGAGAGTGACCTCAGGTGGAATGTGCAAATGCGTAGTGTTGGCTGATGAACCTTGATGTGTTGCCTGTCACAATAATGACACAAAGTCCAAGTGTGTGTGTTGATTGGGTCTGAGATAAGATGCTTGCACCACAGTTAAAACACGTATTACTGATTGAATCAAAAAGTGGCATTCAATCCAACCTATCCCTTCATCCCTTCATTGTGTAGGCTTAATGCAATCATTAATAGATTAATTATTTCTTGAATATTTTTTAAAAACTATTTGGGTATACATTTTAGGTTACCCCCCTCTTTTCATTTGGGTTAAAATATATGGCAGTTGGAAGATGGATCATTTCCTTTTTCCCCTCATTCATTTGTTTCCAATGTTTTGGGGTTTATTATCAACTCATTTTCTAAATGATTGGCAGAGCTACCATTTTTATAGAAAAATAACGTTGATTTTGGGGCAGTTACTCCCAGCAACACAAATGAGAGAAGCTTGGTAGTGTGCATGTTAACCAGGCTTGGGGTCCATTCGAATTGAAGGCAGTAAGTTCTAGTCTGGCTGATACCAGTAAACTGAAATTCCAATTCAATAATTGAAAAAGGGCATCTTGTTGTCAATGACTTCTCAATAAACTGAAAATGGGATGCTATTTATGTCAAAGGTTTTGGGATTTGGGGATTTTAAATTCAAATCACTTTCTGAATTGACTGACTTCAATTTGAATGTACCCCAACCCTTCTAAAGAGCAAGTCTTTATACACAGCCATTAAACACACATTTCTTAAAAAAGGCTGATAGTTACACGACTGACAACACCTTTTCTACTTTCCAGGTCGGTCATTCCCTTAGAACAGTAATATCAGCCATTGCATCACTGCACATTACTACTGTTACAGTACCAGGCAGAAACACAGAGGGCCTCAGATAAACCCATCACATCAGGGGAATGGTAGATACATTGTTTGTATATGAACTTGTTATTGCTGAGGACATCTATTTCAGTAATGATGTGCAACTAATGGTAATTGCATTGTTTTATGGTTTGGTTTAGGTCAGTTGGAGTCAGCAAAAGAGCAGAAATGTCCTATTCAGTTTGTAGATTGAGAACAGAGATACTGGCATGTGCTCCTATAGTCGCATGCTATATAGATTAATGTGGTCAATGTCCAGGGTTTTCTGTACTGTTGGATTATCTTTCTCTACTGGGTAATCTAAGGTAATGATGATACATAGTATCATTCATACATACAGCAAGAATGATCCTCTGACAGACCCATCATTAAGAGAGAAAAAATGCAATATGACTTTATTCATTATTTTGCATCTCTCCTAGGAATGTAATTATCTCAGTAAATTAGATTGGCTGGACCAGAGATCCCAATGTGACATAGTTCACATGTGCCCTAGATGTTGACTGAACAATTTGTCATAAATATCACCCTCCTCCGACTCATGGATAAAGTCATTTTTGTATTTCCAAGTTCTTTCATTATTTGTTCCATCTCTGCATCTTTCTTTGTATGGAGTCTATGATTCACTACAGGGAATGCAATGTTTAGCAAATTCTGCACAGTGCAGGCAAAGAAAAGACAGCAGTCACTGCATAGGCTAATGGGAAAAGATTTTGCTGAGATTGGTAGTTTCAGCAACTTTCTTACAGAAGGCACAGCCTATTTTGTTGAGGAAGATCTCTCTCTCTCTCTAGGCATCTGGCAGCTTGGTGGATCATGGATGCAGTCAGCATAACTCATCTCTAGCCAAGTAACCTATCATCACAAGGTTATTTTGAATTTTTATGCTGACCTTTTCCCTAGGTGTTGTGATGTGTGCTGTGCTGTCCCTGCTCAGGCCTAAATGTCAAAGCATTTACATTTAAGTCATTCAGCAGATGCTCTTATCCAGAGCGATTTACATGAGCAATTAGCGTTAAATGCCTTGCTTAAAGGCACATCGACATATTTTTCAGCTAGTCAGCTCGTTAACTGGTCCAATGCTCTTAACCGCTAGGCTACCTTCCATTTAAATCTGTGAAATTCAACTAATAAATAGAAACTAACTGACACAAATAATTCAGTGGGAGCAATACATGCCCATTCCCATGTATTAATTTATTCATTCAGTTTTTCATTATTTCACATTTCTAATTATAATATATTGGATTATATTTCTATGATTTCTTTACCGTCTCTGATAACAGGGGTGTATTCATTAGTCAGATTCCATTGCAAAACGTTTCGTCTGTTGCAAAACGTTTTGCAACAGAAACCGTTTTGTCTTTACTGTTTACTCTAGGAGCCAAATGGAAGCAAGCAGAGCAAACAGAACGAAACGGGGAGGGACATACCTGAATTTGTCTAATAGAAACTCAAATTTGCTTTGCAAAACGTTTTTCGTTTTGGAGTAAACTGTTTCCGTTGCTAAACGTTTAGCAACAGACAAAACGTTTTGAAATCGGAATCCGACTAATGAATAGTCCCCAGGCATGGATACTTCCCGGATATTATCAACGTTCACGCGCATCAGCGCAAAAACTGCAGCTAACAACATGGCGGACGTATTAGATCTTCATGAAGCGGGAGGCGAGGACTTTGCTATGGATGAGGATGGTGATGGTAAAATTTATGAAATAGTAGTTCTCTGTTTTTTTTTGTTGCTTACCATGGACTCGCTAATAGTGCGTTTTTGGGGAGTTTTCGGCTAACTGAGTGAATAGTATCGGCAAATCGTGGATGCCTGTTGGGCCTCGCAACCATTCAAACACGCTGGTTGGCTAATGTAGTGTTGGTAATAACTTTTTGAATTGTGCCTATTTCGTTTAGGAAAATAGGTGTTAGCTAGCGAATGTGTATAGTTGCCACTTTTCAAGTTACGAGTAAAAGGAACTGAAAGAAAGTTTCGTTTGGCATTGTTAAAAGATGGCGATTAGGTTGTGAGCTAACACGTTAGCAGGCTAACGTAACTAACACCAAGGTAGCTAGGTAGGGCAATTAACGTTAGTTTGTTTGGAAACTGCGAGGTCAATGTTAATAACTCGCCAACTACAGAATCAGCATTTCTTCTTTCGACTGTTGTAAACAGATGGTGATTAGCGTGTGAGCTAACGAACGTTAGAAAGGTAACGTTAGTTAGCTAGATGACTAGTTTAGCTAATTTACTAACTACACCAATCCAAAGATCAACGTTATCATACGTTACTAGCTAATACCCTTTCAACTTGTATGTGACCAATCTATTTAGCTAACTTAACTACTACACCAGGTGAGGTCAAGGTAATAACTTGTCAACTAGCTATTATACTTTTTTTCTGTCGAGTTAGCTACTGTAGCTAGCTGTCTTTTACCAACGCGTTAGTCTATTTATTAGTTAGTTATAATGTAGTTAAATCAGTAGTTATCACTTTCAGTTGACTAATGTGTGTCTCTGATGTTTTCATTCCCCAGACAGCATCCACAAGTTAAAAGAGAAGGCAAAGAGGAGAAAGGGACGAGGTTTTGGTTCAGGTGAGTTACCACTGCAGTTCTGACTCCTAACCTGGCTGTATTCTGCTAATCCAATTTTTCCAATTGTATGTTTTGGGTAGGATGCATGATGCTATTTCTTCCCATTGTTCTCTGCTGTGCTAGAGGAGGGAGCGAGGTCCAGAGTGAGAGAGGACTATGATACAGTGGAGCAGGATGGAGATGAGCCAGGCCCTCAGAGATGTAAGTGCCATGATCAACCTAGGGTGGACATTCCTTTGTCAGTCACTTCTGAATGGGGGGTTGATTTGAAACTGTGGTTTTGTACATCATCCAATATGAGTTTATTGTGTTATAGCAGGTGGTAGCCCTAGTTAACCATAGTCAGTTATTTAACACAGACATGTTTGTCTTTTGATTCTTTCAGCTGTGGAGGGTTGGATCCTTTTCGTGACTGGGGTACATGAGGAGGCCACTGAGGAGGACATCCACGACAAGTTTGCGGAGTTTGGAGAGATCAAGAACCTACATCTGAACCTGGACCGAAGAACAGGTTACCTCAAGGTTAGGCCGAATCCCCATATCTACACAGCACATTTTAAATTAGGGTTTGTTGCTTGGCCTGTTTTGGCAGGATTCATTTGCCTGGTTAATATAGTGAGTTTCATAATTGCTTAATTTGTTGTACAATGCTCTTTTAAGCCACACAAGGTGGCAGCATTACACTGAACATGGACAAATGACAATGTGCTTTTTGTTTGAAATTGTGACTTGCTTTACAGCAGAGCAGACATGAAAATTATGCGGTGGTGTAAAGTACTTTAAAGTATTTTGGGGGGGTATCTTAACTATTTATATATTTGACAACTTTTACTCCACTACGTTCTTAAAGAAAATATGTACTTTTTACTCCCAAACATTTTCCCTGACACCAAAAAGTATTTGTTACATTTCGAATACTCAAGCAGGACAGAATTATGGTCAAATTCACGCAGCTATCAATAATAACGTGTTGTCATCCCTACTGCCTCTGATCTGGCGAACTAACTGAACACAAATACTGCATTTGTAAATTAAGTCTGAGTGTTGGAGTGTGCCCCTGGCTGTCTACAAAAAATTATCGTGCAGTCTTGTTTTCTTTATAAGGAATTTGAAGTATAGCATTTACTTTTACTTCAAGTATGATAATTGAATACTTTTCCCACCCCTGTACATTTAAAACAAGATACTTTTACTGAAGTAGTATTTTACTGGGTGACTTTTACTTTAGTCATTTTCTATTAAAGGTATCTTTACTTTTACCCAAGTATGACAATTGAGTACTTTTCCCACCACTAAAATTGTTATTGTCATTATTAGTCAATTGCAGCACAGTTTAAATGAGATTGATGAGGATTCGACAAGCATTCTCCTCACCCATTTTTGGCATTCCAACAATATCTGTACAATCATTAAATGGTTAGTAAGTACAGTGTGCTTAGACTATAGCAGGGCATTGAATTCCACAACACTTCCTGCAGCTGCTCATCTCAACCTCAAGGCGTCACACGTTCAGGGAATCCAGTGGGCTGCTTTACCATTAACTACCTAGCATGGCGACGCAAATTAAGAACTAGCCGCATTTCGTTCACCTCGATCTGCCATTTTACGTTGTGGGATAATTAGGAATACAGCGACACCTACCATGTCTGTATTGCAGTATGTTTTCCTGTCCTTTTTAGTCTGGGTTCACAGAGGTACTCATATTGACCTGTGACTGTTACGACAAGAAGGGGAAGCCCTTCTCGTCATAATATTTAAGGCTAGATCTCATCACTGACTCATGGATTTGCACATCAATCCTTTTCACAGGGTTATGCGCTGGTGGAGTATGAGACGTACAAAGAAGCCCAGGCAGCCATGGAAGGGCTGAATGGCCAGGACATGATGGGCCAGCCTATCAGTGTGGACTGGGGCTTCGTCAGAGGACCTCCCAAGAGCAAGAGGAGGTGAGTGTCATAGTGAGCAGTAGTCTGCTGTGGAGGGTGATTGTAGGGGTTTGGAGATGCAAGAACACTTGAAACAAGATGTGACCCGTTTGAGTCTATATGAAGAGGGGAACAGAATGGGTGCAGGGGTGTGACTTGAATAAAAAAAAAAAAAAAGAAGATCTGATTCAAGTGTAGATTTACGTGTGTAAATTTGAAGTGTGTTGTAAATGGTTTTGTTGCGTTAAACCTTTCCGCTGTTCCCCACAGGGGTGGTGGACGTAGACGTAGCAGGAGTCCAGACAGGCGACGACGTTGATCCCTTCCCACATTTGTGATATGTAATAGCGTTAACTTCTCTGATGGCTCTATGGTAATCAACTGTTTAATTGCAAATGGCCCTGACAAGTGTGCTTTAGAGTCAATTATTAGTAGTTTCAGCAAAATGTCAGGGTTGCCATAATTTTTTTTTAAATTACTAAAACAAAGAACACCAAATACACTATGATCAGTGAAACTTTGTTTGCTTAAAAAAACTGTTTTAAAGTAGTGATATGTTTTCTTATGGATCCCTCTATTCTGTTTCAAGGTTTAATTTGGTTATGTTCTGGGCCCTGTTTCCCAAAAGCATCTTAAAGCTAAGTTCATTGTTAGAATCATAGGATCCTTGGTTTTAATGATGAACTTAGCCTTAAGATACTTTTGGGAAACTGGGCATTTGTGCAGCTTTTTTAAAATGTATTACATGGGAATAAAACATTTTAAGTGAATCATGTGCCATGATCATTTTTATGTTTTGTTAGGATGTTACAAATGGTTATTTTTTTGTGTGCGTGTTTATACACTGAACAAAAGTATAAACGCTACATGTAAAGTGTTGGTCCCATGTTTCATGATCTGAATGAAAAGATCCCAGAAATTGTCCATTTGCACAAAAAGCTTATTTCTCTCAAGTGTTGTGCACACATTTGTTTACATCCCAGTTGGTGAGCATTTCTCCTTTGCCAAGATAATCCATCCACCTGACAGGTGTGGCATATCAAGAAGCTGATTAAACAGCATGATCATTATACAGGTGCACCTTGTGCTGGGTATAAAAGGCCACTCTAAAATATGCAGTTTTGTCACAACACAATGCCACAGATGTCTTAAGTTGAGGGAGCGGGAATGTCCACCAGAGCAGTTGCCGGATAATTTAATGTTAATTTCTCTACCATAAGCCACCCTCAAACATTGTTTTTGAGATTTGGCAGTATGTCCAACCGACCACAACCGCAGACCACGTGTGTGGCGTCGTGTGGGCGAGCGGTTTGCTGACGTCAACGTTGTGAACAGATTGCCCAATGGTGGCGGTAGGGTTATGGTATGGGCAGGCATAAGCTACGGACAACGAACACAATTGCAATTTATCGATGGCAATTTGGATGCACAGAAATACCGTGACGAGATCCTGAGGCCCATTTTTTTTTTTTCACGGTATCTGACCAACCGATGCATATGTATTCCCAGTTGTGAAATTCATAGATTTGGCCCTAATTTATTTATTTCAATTTAATGATTTCCTTATATGAACTAACTCGTTGGGTTTATATTTTTGTTCAGTATATATACATATCACAGGTTTTTGGTTGCACTCCTGGTAATGACTGGAGTGGGCTCGTGGGAATTACTGGAGCGGAATTGGTGGAATGGTATCAAACATGGTTTCCAGGTGTTTCATGTCATTCAATTTGCTCCGTTCTGGCCATTATTATGAGCCGTTCTCTCCCCAGCAGCCTCCAGTTATGTATGTATGTACAGTATATGTACACTACCGTTCAAATGTTTGGGGTCACTTTGAAATTTCCTTGTTTTCCATGAAAACATACATGAAATGAGTTTGAATAGGAACTGTAGTCATTGACAAGGTTAGAAATAATGATTTTTAATTGAAATAATAATGGTGTCCTTCAAACTTTGCTTTCGTCAAATAATCCTCAATTTGCAGCAATTACAGCCTTGCAGACCTTTGGCATTCTAGTTGTCAATTTGTTGAGGTAATCTGAAGAAATTTCACCACATGCTTCCTGAAGCACCTCCCACAAGTTGGATTTGCTTGATGGGCACTTCTTACGTGCCATACGGTCAAGGTGCTCCCACAACAGCTCAATAGGTTTGAGATCCGGTGACTGTGCTAGCCACTCCATTATAGACAGAATACCAGCTGACTGCTTCTTCCCTAAATAGTTATTGCATAGTTTGGAGCTGTGCTTTGGGTCATTGTCCTGTTGTAGGAGGAAATTGGCTCCAATCAAGCGCCGTCCACAGGGTATGGCATGGCGTTGCAAAATGGAGTGATAGCCTTCCTTCTTCAAGATCCCTTTTACCCTGTACAAATCTCCCACTTTACCACCACCAAAGCACCCCCAGACCATCACATTGCCTCCACCATGCTTGACAGATGGCATCAAGCACTCCTCCAGCATCTTTTCATCTGGTCTGTGTTTCACAAATGTTCTTCTTTGTGATCCGAACACCTCAAACTTCGATTCATCTGTTCATAACACTTTTTCCCAATCTTCCTCTGTCCAGTGTCTGCGTTCTTTTGCCCATCTTAACCTTTTCTTTTTATTGGCCAGTCTGAGATTTTTCTTTGCAACTGGGCTTTTTCTTTGCAACTCTGCCTAGAAGGTCAGCATCCCGGAGTTGCCTCTTCACTGTTGACGTTGAGACTGGTGTTTTGCGGGTACTATTTAATGAAGCTACCAGTTGAGGACCTGTGAGGTGTCTGTTTCTCAAACGAGACACTAATGTACAGTGAGGGGAAAAAAGTATTTGATCCCCTGCTGATTTTGTACGTTTGCCCACTGACAAAGACATGATCAGTCTATAATTTTAATGGTAGGTTTATTTGAACAGTGAGACATAATAACAACAAAAAAATCCAGAAAAACGCATGTCAAAAATGTTATAAATTGATTTGCATTTTAATGAAGGAAATAAGTATTTGACCCCTCTGCAAAACATGACTTAGTACTTGGTGGCAAAACCCTTGTTGGCAATCACAGAGGTCAGACGTTTCTTGTAGTTGGCCACCAGGTTTGCACACATCTCAGGAGGGATTTTGTCCCACTCTTTGCAGATCTGGCTGTGTGGCATGGCGCATTGTCCTGCTGGAAAAACCAATCCTCAGAGTTGGGGAACAATGTCAGAGCAAAAGGAAGCACGTTTTTTTCCAGGACAACCTTGTACGTGGCTTGATTCATGTGTCCTTCACAAAGACAAATCTGCCCAATTGCAGCCTTGCTGAAGCACCCCCAGATCATCACCGATCCTCCACCAAATTTCACAGTGGGTGCGAGACACTGGCTTGTAGGCCTCTCCAGGTCGCCGTCTAACCATTAGACGACCAGGTGTTGGGCAAAGCTGAAAATTGGATTCATCAGAGAAGATGACCTTACTCCAGTCCTCTACGGTCCAATCCTTATGGTCTTTTGCAAACTTCAGCCTAGCTCTTCTTTGCTTTTCATTGATGAAGGGCTTTTTTCTAGCTTTGCATGACTTCAGCCCTGCCCCTAGGAGCCTGTTTCGAACCGTCCTCGCCGTGCACTTCACCCCAGCTGCCGTTTGCCATTCTTTTTGTAGGTCACTTGATGTCATCCTACGGTTGTTGAGTGACATTCGAATTAGTTGGCGGTCATCCCGGTCAGTAGAGTCGTTTTCGCCCTCTGCCGGTCTGTAGCTTTGTTGTCCCCAATGTCTGCTGCTTGACCTTGTTCTTATGAACCGCCATCTTTGAAATTTTAAGGATGGAAGCAACATGATGCTCACTGTATCCCTCTGCCAGTAAAGCCAGAATTGAACCCTTCTTTTCCTTTCAAAACTTTCCTTTTCAACTCTTTTGGCATGGTCAATAGTTATTTTTTTTATTAATATTACTTTTGAGGTACTATTAGCACTGTTTTTGCCATCCAGCTGGTCCTATTGCAAGAGGATAGTGATGACCACAGCAGTGGTTTTTATACTTTTCCTCGTTAAATAAGATTTGGTTCATGTGATCACCTAATCAGTACCTAATTCAGTAGAATGAGGTGTGCCAGTGTTGGAATTCAACAGACACTGGAATGGAATGGCTGTCATACATGTAGAGATGCTGATTTAAGAAACATTTGCAGTGGTCTCTTAATTTTTTCCACAGCTGTATTTACTAGGCTACTTGGTCAAATTAAATGAGAGATGCGCATGGTAATTTGTTGTATGGCTCCTTCGGGAATATGAACCCATCATGGCCAGAAAAAGTGAGGAATATATTTTTGCAATGGTTATGAAAAATTTAATAAATAGGGAAAATATTGCTGTCTAATTATAAGATCCCTATGTCTAATCATTTTAGATTCTAAAAATAAAATCTAAAACAAGAATAGTTGCAAGAATAATCTGTTTTCCTGTTTTTAGTATTGTATTAATAAGCTTTATCATATCCCCTATTTGCATTAAATACTTACTTGCCAGCTTTCAATACAATATGTTAAAAACTAGCAGATGTGCGTAGGCATAGTCTAAAGTTTGCATGGAGGTACATTTGTATAAATGTCAACTTTTGCGGGAACTGGCGCATGCACATTTTGGTGTATATTTTGTACATATGCACGGTTTATAAATGAGGCCCCTGGCGTGCTGTCATGTGCCTTTTTCTCTGGAGTGCTTTCCATCTGGCCACTCTGCCATAAAGCCTAGATTGGTGAAGTGCTGTAGAGATGGTTGTCCTTCTTGGTCACCTCCCTGACCAAGGTCCTTCTTGCCTGGTTGCTCAGTTGGGTTCGATGGCCAGCTCTAGGCAGAGTCTGGGTAGTTCCATATTTTTTTTAATTTCCCAATGATGGAGACCACTGTGCTCTTGCAAACATGAAACACTCTAGAAATTGTTTTATACCCTTCCCCAGTTATATGCCTCATCCAGTGGCGATTTTAGCATGTAAATCTTGGTAGGGCAAACAAACAAATGTTTTAGATGTATGCCAGCAAAGCCACTACACAACACTAAACAATATATTAATTGCACTATAACGGTGACAAACGGTGCCCACAAACTGTTAGGGCCTACATAAAGCTGTCCCAACAGCAGTCCTAAAACCTTACCACTGCTACACCTGGCTATCAGCTGAGCCTTGTCTGGCAGCGAAACAGTTCATTCAGCGTCATTTACTGCCTTTTAAAAAAACATGGCTGACTTGCTTAAACAAATGTGGTTTCTACTGACAATTGAGATGTACAAACTATGGCATAAGGGGACGACGAGCGGATAAGAGGCAATCCGTAATTTCGATTAAGACATTAATGAGCAAGCTAGGACTGACGTAGTCAATATAACTACAGTTGAAGTTGGAAGTTTACATACACTTAGGTTGGAGTCATTAAAACTTGTTTTTCAACCACTCCACAAGTTTCTTGTTAACAAACTATAGTTTTGGCAAGTCGGTTAGGACATCTACTTTATGCATGACACAAGTAATTTTTCCAACAATTGTTTACAGACAGATTATTTCACTTATAATTCACTGTATCACAATTCCAGTGGGTCAGAAGTTTACATACACTAAGTTGACTGTGCCTTTAAACAGCTTGGAAAATTCCAGAAAATGATTGCTTTAGAAGCTTCTGATAGGCTAATTTACATAATTTGAG